TTTTTTTTTTTTAAAAAAAAACCAAACACTTATTTCCAGATTTGCTAGGAACTGGCCATTTCAAGAAGCGCTAAGTAGTAAATTAGCCATAAGCATCTGCTGTTCTGTTCTGAACTCGTTCCATGAAACACAAAAACATAACCCCATAAAGACTACAAGATTTTTTGCTTAAAGTAGCTGATTCACCTAACTTTTCTTCAAGCTCTAGACCACGGTATAGCTTGACAGAAGTAGTAAGATTTCATTGAAAACTTCAGAAGACCACTGCAACTTCTAAGAATTAATTAACTCTGTTCAGTATATAGTAGGGGCTTTTTTTTAGCATCTATAAACTTCAGAAATTTAACAGTACAAAAGGAAGGGCAAGCGGGGCAAAGTATAATCCTTAATATCATTTCAGCATGCTGGATGTAATCAAAGCACAGAAACCCAGTCTTCAGATTCTTTCAACTTATCAGGAGGATTGTAAACATGAGCACAATACAGTAATAATTTTTTGCTATCTAATGTTATATTCTGCAGCCAGATCATCAAATTCTCTCTCCACAATATTACAAACACAAAATGTGTCAGGACAATAGTAAAAAAATAATACAAGACTTTGCCTTTGCCTCATACATGACATCATAATATATTCCAAAGGTAGAAAACCATCAGCATGCAGACCAGTTACAATACAAAATACTGTTGCAGGCAGACTGGACATCATCACTTCATGCATTCACAAATGTCCTACCGAGTTCACAGAAAAGCTCTTCTCATCTTCAGCAAGAATGAAATTTCTTACCCTTACAGGTCCACCATTTTAGCCACTTCTAAATTACTCCCTACTTTTTTATTTAACAAAAGTATTTTTTTCTTACTCAAGGTAGCCCATTTATTTCCATTACCTTAAACCAATGCATCACAATTTTCAGAATACCACATATTCACATCCAGCATTGATACATAGATTTACGATAGCACTTATTAAAGCCTTGGCAAAACAATATTATTTGGATACCCTGGTCACAAATTCTTTGTTCATTATCTTTATTGCACTAGAGAATAAAGAAAAAAAGTAATTCGGTATGTTTTAGAGGAAAGTTATTAATCTCTTAAACCTGCAAACCTCCCTTAAAGAGAGGAAAAAAGTTGTAATACAGCAGCTAGTTAGGCCTGCATACAAGACCCAGTAGATCTGTCGGCATATATATACACACGGAGAACCATTCTCTTGGATTAATACTTAAAGCTTAAAATAAGAGAGAGGCTAGTGCATTCCCTTCAAGGAGAAAAGCATTCATCATCTGCTACTAAGTTAGAGGCATCCCTTCGGTTACTATCTCCCCACTGTTATTGTCTAATGTTATTCAGTCAGTAGAAGGTGTGAGGGAAATGAATGGATCAAAGAACTTAAACATACTTTTTGTTTAAATGGAATAAATTAACACACCACTCACAGGAGAAACATCTTGATGTCATTAACATTTAAGTTGCTAATGTATTCCACACTCTTCCCATTAATATTGCTTAGTACAGGAAAAATCTGCATTCACAGTGACCCCCAGGATGCAAAGCCATGGCTTTTTCATCAGTAGCAATTTTACAAGCAACATTCATGCGTTCTGTAAGCGCACAACCATATGGCACCTCAACATGAAATGAGAGGCTTGCCACAGTATCAAGGTAAAAGGATGTAACTCCTCCCACAGCCAGTCATTGACTTCATACAAATTCCCTATAATAATAAATAACACACACAAACGCAGAAGGGTGTCAAGAAAACAAGAAGTCATCTTTTAGACAGAGCAGTGGTCCTTCAGCAAGCTCTTCTCAAAAGTTACTTTTTATGTGGAGGACTCTAATTTGACCTCTGGTATCAGATATCAATCGACAGCATGACACTTCTAAACGCTGTTCATCCATTAAACAGAAAAAAACAAACCAAACCAAGAACAAAACCACCACAAACTCATCGTGTATTTAATAACTCCTACTCCTCTTACCTATATTCAAGTATACCTTCACATACAGTAAAATCAGGAGGTCTTCAGCAACGTGTAAGTCATAGAAAAACTGAAGTTGATTGTGCTCAAACAACGGCTGTTTAGGAATGATACACCACAAGAACCTCATCTGCTGTGTAAACAGCTGTGCAGATGAAAGCTCTCATAGACACACTACCCAGAAACCTCATTCACTTTGCTAGCATCTGACAGTAAAATGTTTTTGTAAATGAACACAACAAAACACAAGTCAAAACACTCCTATCTTTCAGAAATTCTTACCTCCCAAAACAGCTTTCAGATGATAAAAATGGTGGCAGTGATGTTACCAGCTTTTTACGAGCCATTAACTACAACTCTCAATTGGGATGTGAAAGGAGAATTCCCTCCCCTTCCTCAGAGGCTTTGAGCCTTCATCTCCCATATGCCAAAAGAACAGGGTAGAACAGATCCAGGTATTTTAAGACTGAAATACTCTACACTATCTGGATTTCTTGAGCTAGGCAGCATAAGGGAGTGAAAGGAAAAGGAGAAAAAACATTGGTTGGGTATAGTCATGGTTGCCTAACAAAACTAACACGAAAAGGAAGGCCTACACTCTAAAACCCTTCCTCAGAGACCCACTGACTGCATCACGTAAACCCTTTGGCTATAAACAAGCCCTGGTATTTAATTTGTATCTACAGAGCTTCCTAAGGCTAGAGGTGTCTTATTCTACTATAATCAACAAATGGGATACCACCACTGCAGAAAGCTTTAAGGAGTTTTCCATTATAAATTCAAGGTGAACTAGACTAATAAAAGAGATACCCTAAGTGAAAATTAGTTTATACTGTGATAAATCTCTAGATGCAAAAATTGACTTATTCATGGCACCAGACCTATCTTTCACTGGGAGCTGCAGAAAGGTGAGGATGAAAACTAGAAGATCAAGATTAACAAGAACGTACATTAACTGGGTTCAGTTATTTGGCAAGCCTGAGGCAAGCTCACCTGAATAACGAGAGAGATCAGCTAGTAAAACAGCTGAAGCACTAACATTTACTGATAAACTACCGAAGTAGTTTTGATGAGAAAAAATACACTCTGCCATCAAGCTAGGAGAAGAAAATACTAATCAATACTAAACTCAATATTCTTGAGCTTAAATGAATGAAACTTTGGTTAATTTTTGCAGTTCTACTCAAATTATTTCTATTGTAGAGGTATGTCATGCACATCTGAAAACTAAACCAGACAGTCTTAAATCTAAATGATGGCTACTGAAAGAAACTAGCTTGTCCTCACAAGTTACTGTTAGGAGCTGCTCTTACTGAACCTGGGGGAATTTTGGCTCAAGCATCCTCAAGACATGTTCACATTCTCATTCTTTACAAAGAATTAGTACAGCAAGTCTTTACAACAAAATGCTATGTTTATTAAAAGGTATTTATATGCCCCCTTTAAAAAAATAGTTCAGAAGCAAATGAGCATCATCTAGTTTACTCATTTGTCAAAATCATGCGATATATATAAACAAGCAAAGGAAGAGGTTTTCACACAGGAGAACAACATAAGAAGCCTGTCTTCATTTCACTCCAGTGAAAGTTTAAGTTTTTCACATACATCTTAGAGGTTACTTGCTATTCCATTACCTTTGCCAAGCGGCTCATTTGATCTTCAGAGACTGTGCTGCTTGTTCTCCCAGGAGTTTTGGTGGGCTCCGAGCCATCAGCTTCTACATTGGGCCAGACTTTCAAATCATGCATTCCCTGACGAAACATACTGCAGGGAAAAATGCAGAATTGCTTCAGTAAATTCAAAATAACACAGCTGGCAGGAATCAAAGTACAGCAGCAGCTGCAAGAAAATGAAGTAACTTCCTTTGCCAAACCTACAAACATGCACTGCCATATATAATTTAACTCAACTGCAGAAAGTGCCTTGCACCTTGTGCCCTCTACAGCCTTCATTTCTGTTGGCACACAGAGATTAGAAGAAAATGAGTAAGCCTGAGAATTTATTTGGCAAGAGGAAGAAAAATGGGTAATTCCCAAAGTCATCAGGGTGGTACAAATGCAAACGGAGGACAGAGCTTGACCTTCATAGTTTTATTATTTGTAATTAAGTAGAAAGTATTCCTCTTGACTTGCAAATTATAATACTGACTTCAGGTTTGCCAGTCCAAAAAAATTCAACTAAAAAACTATTTAACTTTCATTTGAAGGCCAACTGATAAAAAGCAGCCTTCTGACTTGCCAAATAAAAAAAAACCTACACAAAAACCCACAACCCTCAACACAACTTATCTCCACCTATGCTTAAAATTGAATTGGTAAGTGAAACTGCACAGTGAACAGAACTTTTCAGGGTAACTGAACACACCTCTTCTCTGCAAAACCCTGCTTCCCTGTGTATTTGTACTGATCCACCCATAAAAGATGCCCCAAGAAACCTAGTGCATTATTTTTGCAGTAAGAGGTGATCACTTAACTCTGACAACTTTAGGTAAACACAACTGGAAGAAACACTTTTAAAATTCAACCATTAAAAAATACAAATACCAACTAAAAGGATCATCTGACCTTGAATTTACCCATCACTTTGTGGAATACCACTACAAGGGTTTCTGTTTACAAGCAAATACAAGATTCCAAAACTATTTGTTGCTTTCCATGCACCTCCTTCCCCCAGGCCCTACATGCTGAAAAAAAAGTACACTTCATTTACAAAACGTATCTTTTTCCAGCAACTATGCTCTAATGCTTTAAAAACTACCAGCAGTCTTTGGGGCACAGTCCAATTGACCCATTTCAATTCTCTGCCCTAAGACAATGTCAATCTTTTTGTTAAACTAGTATCTTTAATGACAGAGATACAATCTCTCTCTACAGTTATTTTCTGCCTTCAAGTATCACTAGAACACCTTTCCTAATGCTAACCTAAACTTTTCCTGCACTCAGTTTAGCCTTATTACTTCTTATCCACTGACAAGAAAAAAAAAAGGCTATCCCTCTTTATTTACCAACACTACCTATATACTAGAAAAGAGTTCCTATAGTGCTTTCTTCAGCCTCACTAGTCTTAACTCCTCTTCCATCAAACCTATGTGCTAGACAATCAGTGATATGGACTTCCTTAGATTCCCAGTAGTCAGCAACTTGCTTGAAGTCAGTTATATAGAACTGAGCATATCCCAACTGAGTGGACAAGTACAGAGAAGGAGGATACAACATTGTCCCTGATGCACATACTTGTAGACGGATACAACATTGTCCCTGATGCACATACTTGTAGACGGATACAACATTGTCCCTGATGCACATACTTGTAGACTGTTCACATACTTAATGCTGTCTGCACATTTCACATGAGCATCCTGATGCCGAATCATGCAAAACTTAAGACTCGCTCTAAAACCCAAATCTTTTCCTGTGTTTTCTTGGGCAGCTGCCTCCCATTCTGTATTTGACTACAATCAATTGCAAAGAGTACCAACAGCTCATACTTTTCCTTAAACCGCATCCTAATGTTTTTTTCAGTCCCTTTTGCACTTAGTGAAGATCCTTTTACATATTGCCATCTTGCAGCACACTTGTAATCCTTCCCAGCCTAGTGTTAGCATCCACAAATTTACTAAACCCATCCCTTACTGAATCACCAATTATTAATTTTAAAAAACTCCCGATTTACAGAATTACACTTCATTCTTTATAAATAATACTTCATTAACAGACCAATTGCAAGCCAATTGAATCAATTTTGTTAAGTAATCAGTACTGGCATCCATACATTACAACAATATAAATATGAAGCAATTTCAGCATTTGCTACCTTAAAATCCAAGCTTACAGATCTAAAAAAAAAAAAGTAAGCCTAAATTTCAGTGTTATCCAGGAGAAGACTTTTTTACAACACTGTAGCATGTATGAAGTTATACTCAGGAAGAAGCAGCAGAAGTCACCAATGTATGCCATTTTTCAAACATGAAATTGTTAAGCTGGTTTAAAAAAATTTTAAAAAACCCAACCTCTCGTAACCACTGCTACCTTACTTTTCACAGGCAACCTTCAAAACTGTACCAAAGAAAAAGAAGTATACCCATATTTGCCAAAGAGCGAGACCGTTGTTCCTCCCACAGGAACTGCTTTACCAGGTCCATACACATCCCAGATGGTGAGAGCCACCTGTGCATTGCGAGGCAAGTCTGGGTACTTCACAGGCAGTTTCAGCCATTCATTCCAGCTGCAGAGAAACACTTTTAATTAGTCATAAAGCATAAGACTTCAAGATACTCTATATTAGTTTATACAACCCAGATGTTCCTTAGAATATGAATTTGTAAGGGCAGATGCACTATTTTCTTCTGGGCTTTAACCATACATTTACTTGTCTGGAGCACGATTAAAAGGCCAGACACCAAAGAAAAAATACTCTAGCTTGGTGACTAAGTACCAAAGATCAGTCTGTCCAGTAAACAGTACCTAAACCTGCTAGTCTAGGCCCCAGAAGTTACTTAAGTAGCTAGCCATGCCCAAACACACAAGTAACAATGTTATTACTTACCCACTACACAAAAAGGTTGATTTTGTCTTGTCAGAGCAAGACTTAAAAACTATACACAGACTTGAAGAAACAGAAGTTATTTGAAGAAAACAGAAAACAACTCTTTCTGACACAAAAAAACCTCATAGATTTATCTATCTAACTTGATGCCCTGGTAACTCAGAGGAATAAGAAATAAAACACAGTCACTTACTTCCATCTAGTGCTAAAAGCTTTGTAGGAAGTTCTAACTGGAAGAGCAAGAGGCTTCCCTTCTGCAAACACCTGACAAGTTACATACAAGTCAGAGCAAGTTTCTTGATACAGTCCTGAGAACTTGAGCATTGGATCTTCTAAGAGAGCTTTGTAACTCTTCTGTTCTCTCTTCCCTTCCAGACTTCCTCTATGTGGGAAGGGAAAAAAGAAAAAAAGATGGGGGGGAGGGGAAGATAAAACAATAAATAAACCAAGATTTATTTTATCCGCAGTAAAAGTCCTATTCTACTTCCACAGCCTATATTTAGATTACCCAGCAGTGAGGCTACCCTCACTCTGCTTTACCATCCAGCAGTGAAGTCCAAATATCAGCGGGGAACTCTGATGTGAAGTGATGAACAACTACAGACTTTGTCACTACACTGATTTAGCGCTGGGGGCAGAGCATGGGAGGGAAGAATGACTTGTTTGTCTTTCCAATGGAGATAACTTCTTCTAGTACAACCTGTAGATTCTCAGACAGCATCAAATGAGGTACCCTAAGCAGGGTAACAATAAGATGACATATGCTGCTAATATTAAAAAAACAAAACAAACATCAGATTACATGTGGTCCAAACACTATCTGGAAAAAAAAAACCCTCATCATATACTAAGAAAAGCCTTATTTTTAAGCTGTATGAAATGCTTTGGATACCAGTCATCTCTCAAATTAACAACAAATCAAAGCTCATCTAAGCAGACTGTTCAAATTCAATTCGATTAAATCTCTGCAACAGTTTCAGAATGCTAGTGTTAGAGCAAACCGACGGAATTTCACAGCCCTCAGCCACACCACGATGAAAACAATCATGCACATTAAATATATGTGACTATTGATGCACAAGGGAAAACAAATAAGGAATTGTGGTGGTGATGTGGAGGCATGCAAGATTAATCTTCCGCCAAACAAACAAACAAAAATCTATCAGTACCACAAAAACGCTTCAGAGCGGATGACCCAGAAACTAGCATAGCACATTCCAGGATGACTTAAGAGTCTGATGCACAAAAAAACCCTAGTTACATTTTTGTTAGGCAGAATAAATTGGCAGGGAGGACACATGTACCTGACTTCGGACACCATCTTCCAGTCAGAAGTTAAAACCACCCCCCTACAAGCTTTCCCAATTTAGTTTTCGAAAGAAGTGCAATATACCTTAATGCAGCAACACCAGGTATACCACATTTTACAGCCAACCATGTGTCCCCCCTACACAAATGTAAACATCCCACTGCTGTGACGCAGAAAAAGCCCGAACTTAAAAATAACCCAGCAAATACACAAGCCTGTGGTAATACCAGCTTCACCCAAAGGGCCTGCATACAGCCGGTTAGGACCACATTTACATGCTGCAGCACCTGGCTCTGACGCCAGTGTATCCCCATCCAGCCTGTGGTAATACCAGCTTCACCCAAAGGGCCTGCATACAGCCGGTTAGGACCACATTTACATGCTGCAGCACCTGGCTCTGACGCCAGTGTATCCCCATCCCCTCACGCCGAGGGGAGAGCCGTGGCACCAGCGCTGCACTGACGGCCGGACTCCGCCTCACACCCCCGGCCAGCCACCG